CTGCTTCGTTTGCCATGGTTTCATAATATTTTCTTTTGTCTTCCCTGGCACTCTTCTTCACTCTTTTGTTCAGTGTATAGTAGCTTGAATTCAACTCCTATTTTTGTTGCTCGTCAGTGCACCGGATAATCTTTTGTTTCACTGTCCTTCTCTCCTCTATTAGTTTCCAAGTGTCCGTAGTGAGCCACTGTTTGTCCTGTCTCTTCTTTGTGCCTAGAACTTCCATGCAGGTTTGACTCCACACCGTTTTCAAGTTTTCCAAGTGCTTTTCTACGCCGACCTCTTCGCTAGTGTTGACTTGTGTCTCGGCTTTTTCCCTAATGCTTGCAATGATGTCCTTTGTATCTTGGTCCTTCAGTTCTTGAGTGTTGAGCTTGGCTTGTGGTCTATCTGCAGCTCCTGATTCTCTGAAAGCTTTACATTCGATTTGGATTGTCCCTTGTATGAGATAGTGGTCTGAGCCAACGTCTGCTCCTCTTCTTGCTTTTGTGTCCAGTAGGCTGCACCTCCACTTCCTTGAGATTGAGATGAAGTCGATTTGGTTTTTGGTTTGCCCGTCTTGTGACACCCATATAGCCTTGTGGATATCTTTGTGTTTGTATACACTGCCACCAATCACTAGTTCGATGAAGGCGCAGAAGTCGGCGAAGAGTTCTCCATTTTCATTCATTTTTCCGAGAGCTTCCCTACTAATGATGAGTTCCCTTCCTGTGTTGTCTGGTCCTAGCTTGGCGTTCATGTCTCCCATTAGTATTTTCATGTCACCAGCTGGAGTATTGTCCATTGTTGCCTGTAGTTGTCTGTAGAATTCTTCTTTCTTTTCGGGGTCTGCGTTGTTTGTGGGTGCATAACATTGTATAATTGACACTTTCCTTCCTTTGGAGTTGAATCTGGCAGTCATTATCCTGGACGAGATCGCCTCCCATCGCATCAGGGCTTTCGTTGGCGTTGGTGACATCATGATAGCCACGCCCTCGGTGTGCGTGTGGTTATCTTCTGGGTGAGTGGAGTAGATCCCTGACTCACCCGTTGACAATTTAATGAGTCCATTCCCACTCCATCTGCTTTCACATATTCCCAGCACTTGGATTCCGTATCTTTTCATCTCGTTGGCGATCTGGGCAGCTTTCCCAGTCTCGTACATAGTTCGGACGTTCCATGTTCCCACACAGACTTTTTCTTTTGGTGCAAAGTGGTTCATCATACTGAATTTTCTGTAGAAATTTTGTTTACAGGGTGGGGTTGCTAGCCTCACGCCTGAGAAAGGAATGGACCTTTTGTGTTGCTCCTCTTAAACTCAGATAACAAGGGATAGAACAATGAGAACAACACCAACAAAAGGAAAACAATTCGCAGCAAAAAGGGCAAAAGGCGACAACAACGATACAATAAAACAACATGCAATATAGTTCAACACAGTTAACTAAAATGATACCAAAATCACAGACTCACTGACTTGGGCCAACTTGAGCATATAAATCCAATAATATATACAATTTTACGTTGTATGTACTCTTATCGTATAGTAGTACAGTACTCCTACAATTCCATGATACCTTAATCTCAACCAGTGATCAGTAATTGATTTCTCCAGTCACCATCTTTATCCATTCTTCTCAGTATCATCACACTGTTGCGTAGCTTTTGTCAGTTGACTAAGCGCCATTGGCAGACAGGCACCAATCTCACCTTATATAATCTCATCTAAATAAATTCTTGCATCCATCCATACATCCATGCATCACACAGCTAACTGGATTCCACCATACGAGGCGAAAATTTATTTGATGATACAAGCACATAACAATTAGTTTTTTTAATTAATACAGTCGCAGTGTTCGATTTCATCACACAAAAATTCTCCTATCCTGGAATGATTACAAAATGAACACTGACTGGCAGAAATAAATACTACCTTTAGTCAGTACTAAAAATGATAACTCGACCAATCTTGTCATTCACGTTTCTCATCATGAGTTCTCCGTCGGTGGGGTGAGTGTCTAACTACCAGACTGCGTAACTCAGTGACGTTTGACTTATATTCACGGTGTCCCATAAATATCCACGGACATGTGAAGATTACATATGTACGATTCATACACAATCAGCGACAAAATTTGCACAGAAAAAAGCACACTATTTCATCATCACCGGGATAACCAAGGAACACGTTAATGTCAGTTATCACTATAAAGCATGCTCACCTCTCTCTCTTTCTATCTCTTAGTGTTTTAAGGGTAAACGTCTAAGCAATTTCATGGTGGTTATGATGATAGGTACGCACTCAGCAATCACTTGACTACGAATGTATGTATTTATTGACGGAATCGACATGTGCAAAGGCGACATCTATACAACTCTAAGTAAACACAAAATTCAGGTTATTCTATTTGAGACTGAGAGAATTGAATAAATTTTTGATATTGAATGTTATTTTGAACACACTCCAATAATAAGGAATTTTAATGTTGTGGAAATAATAGCTCTCAAAATATAAGGCTGACTTATTTACAAGGTATGATGCTTTTCATTCCATTGACTTCTCAAACTGTGATATGTCTTCATAACATAGATGACGAATCTGCAGCATTCGAATGACGCATAATTCGACTGAGGATGTACATTCAATATATTATGTTGTACACTGCGGTTAACGAAATAACCTATAGACACACAGCCCACGTATCATCAATCCCCACGTGGCTAGATCTCCACAAGTCCGCTCTGCCATTGTATTTCCTGGAAAAGTGCGTATCAAATAACTTGAAAATATCGAGTGAAGGGATTTCTTCGTACGTAAACACGTTTCGTATTCTATGGTAAATCAATAAACTTCTCCTCATTGACGTTTCCTGTCAGATACTCAAAGCACTTCGTCAGTCACAACAATAATCTTCGAGTTGTGCAGTAGTGGTTAGCCTATTTGTTGCAATTATTCACTTCATTCTCACACAACTCACTCTACGAGGAAGACAGAAAACGCCAGCTAAAACAAGATCTTACGAAGTAAAATTTTATATTTAATTAAAGAAATAAATAGTTTAGCAAACAATGTATTCCCTTCATCAATACTGCTTGAATTCCATTAGATTCGAATTCATTTTCCTGCAGCTGAAACAAAATGAAACCGGAAACAGGGTACAATCCAGTTGAAAATAGACACATATCTTGTACAGCAGAAATTATTATCGACAATATTCATCCAACTGACCAGTACATTAGTCCTCAGGCAATACTTCCCGTGAATATTGAAACACAGATTAAGTGTGTGCATTATCTGGTTGATTCCAAGTGACAATTCTCCTCACAGGAATCAGCTGTGCAAAATACCTTCTGAATTTAGGATCTTCCCAACAGTTGTTAAAACCATTTTATTGGATGCAGCCTCTGACTGTGATCAAGTGGCAGGTTAGCCTAAAGATCAATCATGACATGCTTGTAAAGTGATTAGCAATCAAGAAATGAGAGTGAACAGAATTTCAGTGTTACTTGTTTCTCAAGAATTAATCTAGTTGGTTCATAATCAATTGTGCAGTTAGTTAAATATTTGAAATACGTTGAGGATCTAGGTGGGAACTCACTTCAATAATACTGCTTGGCATCTTCCTTCATTTCAGCCAGGAGCCACTTCATTCTATCTTCGGGGGTTTGAACTAGATAGTTCTAAATCGTTTCAATATTTCAACTTACACTTTAGGAACTCAATCCTCGTCTATTCCAATACTTTTATTTTGTCCCGTAATTCCTCTGAAACAGTGAACAGATTGTCAGTGATGTCTCAGTAGCATTTTCAAATTTATGCTGCGACAATATGAAATAATGCTCAAATTTTATGATGCTCGATCATGACTACATGACATGAGACATGTAGTTTTAATTTAATTGTTATTCTGAACTTAACTACGTGTATCATAATTTTTTAGGTTTTATCCGTGATGTATTGATGAAGTCACTAGAGCTTTGTGGGAGTAGTTTTGTGTGTCTCGGTAATATAAAATAATAATTATAATGGCTCTTGCCTATAGATAGTTAAGACTTAATTGTCACCGACTGTCCAACAGTTTTCAGATTCTTATATTAATGTGACAAGTAATATTGCTGATTTTATGAAATATCACATGTGATCAAGGCAAATAACCATTTAAAATTACTTGTGGCACTGGCGAAATCAGTACGAGCCTTCTGATACAATTTCTTCATTTTAGCAGCATACTCGTAGACTGAAAGGAATAATAACTTGTTACCAAACTCATCGTTGTAAACGTACTTGACATTATTGAACGAAAATACTTCATACAAACACATTCAATATGGAATGTGATATGTATGAGTAATGTGCGCGCTTTGTATTTTCATTTGGTGAGTAAATTCTTACTTTTAATTCTCGTTTGATAGGTGTGTCCTCGTTACCTTCTCATGATCTTCAAACTAGAGATCTCCAAGAACAAGTCACTGTCAGTCCAAAATGTAATAAAATGTTCCGTTGATATTTGTTCACTGTATGATGGCTTGTTGACGATCAAAAATTTCGTTATTTGTGTCACTGAGGTATTCACGGTGATCCAATTATGATGTCATTCTCTGGTAAACATGAAGTGCTGAAGTTGCTTGTTATAGAAATGTCACCATTTTCAATCAAATACGAATTGCATGGAGATTGATGATGAATGCATTTTTAACTTCAAGCAGGGTAAAATTGTTCGCTCACCACCTGTGTATCTTCTATTCTTTGGATTTCGGAAAAAATCTAAGTAACAATGAAACAATCATGGGGTATGATTATGAGAGAACATTTTCCCTAGAAACGTCATCCATTTATAAATACTGTGACAATATGTGTTATATTCACTGAACAAATATCACATCGAATTAAATTCTTTCACAGTATTAACTAGTCCACTTCTACAGTCAACATCATCTTCACGTAGTCTACTCTTCTGTCTACTTTCCAATGTAAAGCAAGGTGGAAGTCGATCTTGGCTCCACATCATTTGTACAAGTGAGTGAATATTATGGAATAGTTGTGAAAAATTATGTCCGTCAGACGTCTGTGTGTTGATGACTAATTAAACGCGTCTGCTTTTCACACATAATCATCACCAAATTCAACAAATGGTGAATCGTAATAGGCTTGCCATAGCTTTATTGTACTTTGATTTATACTTGATGAATATATGCACTCACTTAAAGTATCTCTATATTCATGAGTTTTCCTGACTGCTGCCGTTTCCAGCACTTTGAGCTTAGCTAAAAAAACAAGAGGTAATGAATGATATTTAAAACGTTGATCAAGAAACTGCACTGTCATATTTATCATCAAACTGAATGCAACATATTGACGATCCGAAGACGTGTCATAATAGTTTGGTTATTTCCCAGCACGTTCCTTTCACCCCACAGTCATTATATTAGATTTCAAAAGTTTAGTCCACTCCTCACGAAAAGAGTGACGACTCACTGGTGGTAAAACTGGCCCATCGAATATTTCTGAAAGGATTTTACTGGTGGTGAAAAAGATATCTAATACAACCTAGTTAATATGTGTCTGTTATTAATGAGTGTATATGTCAATTAACGACTAACTGTGAATAAAGTGACTAGAGAATTTTCATACTACCTGCTTATTATTTATGAACGTAGTGTGCAATACAAATTTACAGAATCCTTTTACCTTTGGATGTATTCACTGCTTCCTTCGCTTGCATTAACTTCTTCTTTATCATTTCAGTTTGGACTATAATTTCACAATATCGAAAGGTATGAAATGTTTCATTGTGCATTCTTCAGCTTGAAATAATCATATTAACACAATGGCTACTGACTGTCACAATACCTGTTTATCCTGCTGATGATGTTCAACTTGCCACATGATATTTTGAGTGGTTACTGATATCAGTAACACAAATGCCTTCACTAGGTGTTAACTGCATTTCTACTGCATATATGCCCATCTTCAATGTTAAATTGGCTTTGTCCATTATAGAACAATAATCGTTTGCAAAGAATATTAAAATTTTATAGAGTAATTTGTCAAATGATTGAATGATCAATCGTGTCATTGGTTTCGCAAGTTAAATTTTGTATTAACAAGAACATGCTACATTTTTAGGAGTGTCTGTATGTTAAGGATCGACATTTCGTTTGCTACTGATAAGATTTAAAAGTAGAATATGAAGAGACGTTCATCAGAATAAAAACATCAAATTGCAGCGGAATGGATTTTAATTCATAGAGAGCAAAGGATTCAACGTCACGATGAAACATGAGAAACCCGAAAGGCACACAAAGAAATGCATTATAAAGTAGAGAAATAGCATCACACAGAAGACCTGCGCAAATAGTTATATGAAAATAAGGTGTACATATTTGGCAATATAGATATACCAAATTCCAAAAAGACATTGCTTTACCAAATATTTCATCTTCTACTGTCACACTAATACTTCATTGCGTGAATGTATCTGTGTCCATTATTTCTGGGTAAACCATAGTATGGAAGGCATGGAGTTGAAACACACATATTTCGCACAAGGAGTAATTAAACCATTTTGTACTTGTTGGTGAGAAAATGTGAACAAAAGTGTTCATTGTCATAATATTCATCACATATTACTCATAAAGATGATCTATCTCTAAATAGAGTTCCTATCGAAATCCACCTCTGTAAATAATAAATACGCTGATGCTCAATGAATTGAGGGGCATAAAGACAGTATTACCACATATTTAAACAACCCGGGAATTAAGTCGAACAATCAACTAGCTGCCGTCTCTGATTGTCATAAATATCGCCAAATTTCAGTGTAACTGTGAATATCCATATCAATTACTTCAGAGAAACCACTATCGACAAAATTAAGGGAGATATTTCAGAACACATTACAAGCTACGAAGAATGAATTTCAGAAGTAAAGAAAACCAACCTTCGTCATTCTTCAAACTGTCTGATGTCTCCTCCAAAAAAGTACCTGCAATCGATACAGCAATCCAAAATTCAACTTTCAGATATACGATGAAAACAAAATATTTCATAATCAACTTATTTAAAGATGGATTCAGCTGACGTCAGTTCAAATGACAACATCACATTCAACTTTGTTACTGAGTATAAAGCTTTATTCTGAGTGCTACCAGACCATTAGTGTACTCTCACTCACACACCCACAGGAAGTAGTCGTTTTTTGAGTGATTCTAATGACAAAATATAAGGAAGTGAATATATGTTTTGCATTAGCCTATTATCGCTTATTCCCAGAACTACTATCCGTTATTTCGATGATTCGTTTACGCAAAGATTTTCTCATTATTCTCTATCAAGTGTGAATATCGGCGCAGATGATAAAATTGCAGAAATTCAAGATCGTAAAGATAAATCAGTGAGGGGAACCAATGAAATAATCAAAACACTTCAACAGAATGTCGTTTTCTCTTGCAAAGCCAACAATTCAAGTGGGATTTAATCTAAGGCTATGAGTAAATGATGTATCAAGATTTCTTTCCCGCTGAGTCTGAATTCACATTCATGGGCTTGATGTTTAAGCAGAATTATCACCGTTCCGATGTGTTGGGGTAAGTCTTATGTAAAAGTGAGAAGTTTTATGTGGCATTACGCACTCCGCCTGATTACTGAAAAAATATGTTTACTTTCTAACAAAATACCCAAATACCTTCCTAAATAAAGGAATCATAAAATGTTTACCTTCTGAAATATCGAGATTTTTACGATTTTCCCATTTCTTCGAAATATGCTTTTTCATAAGATTGTATAACTGTTTACTAGCTAAAAGAAAAAATGAAAATTCACTAGGTGTAATGATTACTCATAAGGTTTGTAAAATGTGGATCACATGAGTATCTGAGCTGTGGCGATAATGTCATCAGTCAATAGGCGAATAAGCTGGGTATCTTCTGAATGTCACGGAAACAATGGATCTTGGTAAGAAATCAATATAAGGAACAAATATAAGGAAGAAATCAATATAAGAGAGCGTTCTACTTTGGTAAGAAATGTCCTGACGGTTATAAGATATATCCTCAAGTAATTTCGCTCAAAAGTGTTTTGGTAGAGAAGTGCGATCTACTTGGTTAAAAATTAAGTATGATTTCAAATTGAAGTGATTACTTTACACGAAACACCAGTTCAAAATCTTATGTACATTCTCCACAGAACTGGTCGCCTAATTTTAGCGAACCGATGAATTTTAGATTAAGTAGCATTAAAACTTTTAATAAAAAAATTAATTATACCAAGAACTTTGTAATTAAAAGCAGTATCTTCTTCCAATGCCTTCTTGTATTCATCTGTAGAAAAAGGAAGCATTGTTCGGTGCATATTTTATTACTCAAAATGCCAACAATCTGCAGTGTGTATTTGTGAATTGAGTTCATTTATAAACAGATGACATTACGTACATTATTAAATTTTCGTAACAACAAGACAGTCATTTCTAAATAGAATAGTCAGGCACATCTCTGTCTGCAGATATCATGGATAAATGTCACCACTGAGATCGGATTGTGTGTGATGGACAAATCGTGAGCAAACCTCACTCTACAACTGCGAATCACCTTCAAATATAGGCTAGAATAACAGTCAACTGTTTACCCTATCCTCATGGAATTTTGGAGGATTCCACGATGAAGTAACATCTTTTCCTTCTCAGCACTGCTAAGTGCTGCATACTCTGATGCAACTCATTCAACAGACATAGGAATATTCCACTTGCGAAACACCTTACATCGGAAAGACAAAGCTGTCAAATAGCACCTATGGTAATCGTACGGTATTGTTCTGGACTGAACCATTCGAAACACTGTTGGCGTTGAGCGGTTTAATGTATCACCCAGGAAGGCGGAGAACGAATAACAGTAGTAACTTCAAGACGTAACTGAATAATTGGGGATTTATTCAACAATTAGACATTTTATGAAAAAAAAATAGAATTAAATAATCAGAGTTTCCAAGTCATATAAATTAACTTGAGATATCTATATACTGTAAACTATATTCTGAATGTTATCATTAATGCATGCTGTTTCATTGTATCCTGTATGTATTGAGTTAGCTAATGTTGAAGAGGACATTTTCGAGAAAGTGGATGGTGGAGGAAATTGTTTCGCCATTGAATAACACGTCACTCCTGATTGAATTGACGACACAATTTAAAATGCTTCATTAAATGAACTTGACTACATTCCTATAGATGAGCAGAAACGGCTTCACTTGTAAGGCTTGTCAAATAAAAATCAAGATCGTCAATTCCGGTGACATCTGCCACACCAAATGGTCGCAAGCTCACGTTCATTCCACAAACAGTAACACGGTGTTTTTGTCTTCAGATAACAAATAGTTTTGTTTCATGCTCTCTGTCAATTATTTTAGGATGGAATAACCTACAAATAGAAGAATTCACGAGCTTCGTATCCTCTGCACCGATTGCTTCAAAAAGTATGTAATTCGCGGAAATCGTTTATTTTTACTCGGGAGCATGATAAGAAAGGGACAGCAAGAAAACGTGAAATGAATACTGAGTGTTTGTCAGACATGAAAAGCACAAAATCAGAAGCTGTTTAACTCTATACTAAGTACATGGCAACTTATTCGAGGTGTTACATAACATATCCGTCTGAATTTATTATTTCTGCATTGAAAAAATATTGAAGGTTGAATTTACGGCATTCATTCTAAATATGGGATGATGCAGTCACATATAATGTTGGAATTCAATATTTAATTCTTTGCGTATTGGAAAGATGTGGACTGGAACACTTTGCAAAATGTGCATATGAAATTCATTCCCTAAGTCAGATTCTCTCCATAAAAATTTTGCAGACTATTTGTTGAAAGAACTTTTCATGCTACTGACATCTAGAGAACACTCTATTAAATAATAGTTTTAATAATTTATGTATGGAGTAGTTGAATTCCTTGTTCATCTCCACTGACACTGTCATTCATTTCAATTCACAACCTAGCATATTTGCCTTCAGTGGAAATTCACGTCTGTTTTCAACACTAAGTTCATTTCAGGGCATCAAAGAATCAAAGACATGCATTACAGGACTTACATTCGAGAAATTCCTTCGCCCATTTACTTTGATATAAGTGCTCAAGTCTAAGGATTTCTGTTCAAAGTGAAAAATCACGAGATTACTGAATGCCATAATGTTGGTTGAAACAGGTTATTTGTTGAGAGACATTTTTCTAGCGAAATAATGCTGTGCACATATTTCTTGTTTTCCACTTACCGTTCACCCTAGCAGTTTTGCATTTTCTTCTGTTCAAGTAAACAAAGCGCTTTCCAGTTTTTCCCTGCTCTTGCATGTCGAAGATGTTTGAGAACAACATGCATTGGTTGTGTTATGCACTGTGAGTAACTCTGAACAGTCGGCAACACACTTATGTCTGTCTTGTGTATTACTCCGTTATCTAGGCATAAACAACTTCAAGTCACAAGTAGATGAAGTCCCATATGTGTGTTTAACTATCGGTTAATTGACAATGGTAGAATAGTGCCGATGATTTCCAAACTAGGATGAAACAGGTGTCCAGTATTCCCTGCTTTTCAATGGTTCTCTAACTGATATCAATCCGTGATCAACTCGTAAAAACATAACTAATCCTTACTGTCACATCACTGCAACTTTCAGGGAATACGTCGTGCACGGAAAGGCTGTCTACTGTTAAAGTTACTGAAGAATCAGGCACTGGCATATATGAGGTTTAATAGAATGAACCAGGAGTTTTGTAAACCAACGTATATCCATTTTAAAATTCACAAGCTCTAATATTGTTCTACTCATGCATCTAATACTTTGTTCATTCATTTTCCAGTGATTCATTTCAACTGTTCTGCTCAACATAAATCACAGAACTGTGTATATTTTCACCTGCGAGTTTGCTGCGACTGCATTTTCGTCATGATGCATCATTTCTTAACCATGTATGAATAAAGCAAAGCAACAGTTTTTGCAGAATCCAGTGGTACCATCATTTATTTGTTTGGCTTCTCATCAAAAATAAATAATAATAATGATAAATTATATTCATATTAAATAAATTAGGGTACCACTTGATTTTGAAAAAAATGCTGTTCTTGCTTTATTAAGATTAATGAAGAGAACAAAAGTACAATGATTTCCCTTTGAAGATGGTGGTGACACTTCAGTGTCGTACTTTCTACGACAAGAAGACCCACATTGTTTCCTTAATTTGACGCTCTGTTTAGCTTATGGTTCATCCAGTCACAGTCACACAACACACGCAGTGCCGTGGTTTTACAAGGCGATAGGACCAAGGAGGGAGGGAACAATCCTACAGACAACTGTAGGCATTAATGCACACGACACCAAATAGCAACATCTGACTGCGAAAATGGAAGCAAACAAGAATGGAAGGCGATCTTTCGTTGGTCAAGAGGCTGTGGGTGGAAAAAATGAAGACAGTGGACGCTTCACGGACTTCTCTGCCTTCACTTAGTCGTTCACTTTAGGCAGCAATACGACATATATTTTGTCAAGTGGACACAGCAAACATCAGATGATCCTCATTTTAATCTCAGAAATGTGATGATTCAGCACACTGGATATAAAATCGATAGGAAAAACAGACGCGACATACTGCCAATTGAAGTGCAATATGTCAGATTGAAGGGGGACCGCAGATAACTGCATCAGTTTACCACGTAGTTATCCTCGAAGAAATCAACACAGATGACACCAAAGAGGATAGAGAGAAAAAGAGGAGAAGCGACGTAAACTCTAAAAACAGACAACCGTCTGCAATTCGTCTGGAATTACCATCAACAGCAAGCACAGTACTCGCAGTTTATAGCAAACCGACAACAAAACCAAACGTTTCGAATACCAAAATGTAACCAAAAGTCAGGAAGGCGAGAGAACCAGATGAAATTCCTTCGAATGCAACTCATCGGTGATGCTGACGCCACTGGTCCATTGCATTTTGGATGGAGGAAAGTTACATGCTGGTCGAAAAGATAGGCTACTTTGTCAAACTACCAGGAAAAGGTAACTTATGCCTCTGCAAGAATAAAACGGGAAATCATGCTTTCGCTTAATCAAAGCAAAATACTAGCTGGAGAGACTAAATGATGCTATGAATGCGAATTTCCCTCAGTTACAAGCTGGATTCAGGAAAAGCAATTCACGTACGGATCGAACCACAACGCCTCGCCTCATCATCGAGGAGAGCACAGGATCGTTATCAAATATCTGTATGAACTTCATCGACTTTTAAAGTTTTTCGATGTCACTGGAAACTACGGAGCGTAGTGCTCCGAACTGCTACGTGAATATGGCAAATGTCGAGAGATCCAAAACGGAAAGCTCAGTAAGGCTCACCGCAGATGGCACTCCTGTCTGTCGTTGACTGAGTCCTGTTAGAGGCCGTGAGCAGCAAGAAAATGATAATACGTTGGCCAAAACAAACAGACTGAGGAATGCTTACACTTCTCTGATGTCTCATGTCTAATATCACATGAACTCGAAGATCTGTAGGAGAAGCAGCCAGCAAAGACACGTCTTTAGGTTAGAAACCAACCAACAAACAGCAACGAAGAAATGCGATGCAACACCATTTCCACTGCACGTGGTGACAGGAGTTCTTAAATCGCAGTCAGCTGAGATTTGAAAAGCAAGACCGAATTTCAAATCAGTATGCGAGTTTATTCCGCAGAGTATAAAGAAGGAGATCTGGTTCTTCAATATTGACGTCAAGCAATGCTTCTACATTATTCAAAGACGTATCATGTTGACTAAGACCTTTAAAATAGGAAGCTGAAGTTTTTTATCAATACCTGACTTTGATGCTCCAGTATTGGTGACAATGAGCCAAGAAAGCAATAGCAACAAGGATGTCTGGCGACAAACCAGTTATGTACCTACCGTTCAGTAAATACACCAAAAGAATTGAAAATGTTTGTTAAATGAGTTCAAGAAACCGTTAACTGATATCATATGCAAGTCCTTTTAATGGAAAATGAATGTTACATGAGGAGGTGAGTGGTGGTGATATGGTGGATATTGTGTGGGCAGGAAATATACGTTAACTGGCCAGTTGTGCAGCCAGCTAAAATGCACTGAAGACAGGAGGAGGTTTTACTTTCCACTAAGAACTCAGGAGATTAATGATAGTAATTTACAAAAGAAGCTGAAAGTGTCTATGAGAGCAGTAAACAACGACAAGCTCCAGATACCTTTTTCAGTATCCTATTTATACAGAGAATGTTCCACCACACTCAAAAGTGAGTTCATGGGTTTCAGCGATGTGCTTTGAATCACCA